ACAAACATTGGGCCGGTAATGAATCAAGGGATTCCTGTGCATAGTTTAAAGGCACTGTATTAGAAATATTTATAGTATGAGAGATGGGTTTAGCCATATAGCTTTGAATCCAGATAATTTTTTTTTTTTTTTTTACTTAAATCTCAGGTATGTTTGGATCACTGTCTATCTCTGCAGGTTCATCTCTGGGTGATGATGTGATTTCCACTATCTCATAAGGTGAGTGTGTGTGTGTGTGTGTGGGGGAGCTACCCTTTTTTCCTAATCATTCCCAATTGTGTTAATGCATCACAGGTTCAATGTTCATTTCCTTGGACTAGGAGTAAAAATGGAAAGTGACAGAAAAAACACCACAGTAAATGAACATATACATCTGATCATAGGAAGATAAACCAAAATGGGAATAAAGGCTCATTCACATAAACATTTAGTTTGCAACAAGCTAGGGTGTGGATCTGCTTCAACTAACTTGCTGCAGACTGTGTGGATCTTGCTGACATGCATTAACTGTTCATTACTGTGCTTTGACCTAGTCCTCTTTGACATGAGACTAGATCAAAATGCACTAGCAAACTGCTTGTCCGACGGGTCTACATGGATAGCTAGTGTGCAGCAGGCTATTGGGCGGGGGGAAGTAGTACCACCCTGTCTTGCTGCAAATTAATGTCTACACTACTACTTATGTCGGTATAACTTATGTCTCTCAGGAGCGTGAATAAGTTACCCCCCTGAGCAACACAAGTTACACCAACCTCAGTGCTGATGTGGACAGTATTATATCAGTGGGAGAGTTTCTCCTGCTGACATAGATACAGCCTCTCATTGGGGGTGGATTAATTAAGTCAACGGAAAAGCTCTCCTGTTGTCTTAGCTTACAGCAGTGCAACTGCAGCTCTATCTAGTGTAGCCATAGTCTGTCTCTCTCTAAAGAGAAAAACTCTTATGGTGCCTGTTAGTTCCTCCATGAATTTACCCAGCACTTGGACTGACAAATCAGGGCAGGTGGTTGGCTCAGTATATGATCCTTATGAAATTACATACACTTGAAAAGTCAGGAATAATCTTATTCAGAAATGGCCCTAAATATTTGGGTCCCAGCTCTGCAAACCAAAGTGATGCAAGTTGTCCTTCTTCACATTGATATCACTGGGATTGCTATGCTCGTATGAGGAAAGACATCAGTGCAGCTTTACGCAAGTGAGTCCTTGGATATTATTAAAGTGCGTAGCAATGAAAACAGTATTGTCATGTCATGGACTGATATATTATTGGAGTAAAACACTTCATTCCTTGAGGCAGACAAACATTTAAATAGCAAGAGGCATATTAATATGCAACAGTAATTTGAAGTACGTTTCAACTAAGTATTGATAAATCCATTTGACAAATGTTCAATAACATTTTTTAAAATTTAAAGTGCTTAATGTGTTGTATGCATCAAAACTGATGAGTCGAGATAAATGCATTTTAGTTATCTCAGTGGTTTGAGCAATGGCCTGCTAAACCCAGGGTTGTGAGTTCAATCCTTGAGGGGGCCACTTAGGGATCTGGGGCAAAATCAGTACTTGGTTCTGCTAATGAAGGCAGGGGGCTGGACTTGATGACCTTTCAAGGTCCCTTCCAGTTCTAGGAGATAGGATATCTCCATTAATTTAAATTTATTTAAAAATTTAATTTAAAATTTAAATTTAAATTTATTTTTCCTTGCTTACCGTCACTGACTAGAAGAATAAAAGACTGTTATAATTTCCTATCTCCTATAGTTCTATTTTGTTTTATTGTGACATCATTCACG